ATTTTTATTTTTTTTCATTTTTTAATATTTCTGTTTATTGTTGTGATTTTTGTATTTTTGCAATTTTTATTTTTTTTTATTGCAATTTTTTTTTTCATTTTTGCAATGTTTATTATTCTTTATTCTTGTAATCTTTCTATTCTTGCAATTTTTATTTTCTTTCATTCTTGTAATGTTTATTTTTCTTTATTGCTAGAATCTTTGTATTATTGCAATTATTATTTTTTATTATTGCAATTTCTATTTTTTTTCATTTTTGTAATATTTCTCTGTATTGCTGTAATTTTTGTATTCTTGCAATTTTTTTTTTTAAATATTGTAATTGTTTCTTTCATTTTTTGTTTATTTGCCACCCTTTTCTGTTTTAATTTACATTTCCCTATTGTTATAAGAAATTCAAATTCCTAACTAATATCATCTTCATCACATTTATTATTAATTAAAAATCCAAGTAATTTGTTGAGAATTTTTATCTTCATTTCCATCGAGCGTTCAATTATCTGTTCTCCTTTAATTTGACAGCTAAACTCGCCACACATCCGCACACTTCACACGAAAAAAGCAAAAAATTGAGGAACGAATATATCACGCTCTATTATTGATTGAAGTGGAGTTTACTTTGATCAAATATTATTATTTGCCGAATTTTAACACGTCGAGTGTCGAAATCATTTTCTACATATTAAATCGATAACGTAAAATAACATTTATTCGTGTGCCACTTCGTTTTTATGAAAAGGGAATTCTATCATTCAATATTGGGTTCAAATGAAAATTTTTTCCAAGACAAATTTGACAGAGGTATACTATATCTCGTAATTAATAAAAAATTTTTGTTAATAAAAAATCATCAATGCAAAATTAATATTGGCTTCAAATACAAATTTTTTCCAACATACATTTGACAGAGGTATACTATATCTTGTAATTAATAAAAAATATTTTGTTAATAAAAAATCATCAATGCAAAATTAATATTGGATGCAAATGAAAATTTTTTCCAAGACAAATTTGACAGAGGTATACTATATCTTGTAATTAATAAAAAATATTTTGTTAATAAAAAATCATCAATGCAAAATTAATATTGGGTTCAAATACAAATTTTTTTCAACATAAATTTGACAGAGGTATACTATATCTTGAAATTAATAAAAAATATTTTGTTAATAAAAAATCATCAATGCAAAATTAATATTGGATGCAAATAAAAATTTTTTTCAACATAAATTTGACGGAGGTGTACTATATCTTGTAGTTAATAAAAAATATTTAAATGAAACTAAAATATACTTAAATACAAAAAATAATATATTTAAATAAATCTTTAGATAAAATTATTTTTATAAAATTTTGAATTGTGTTTGCATTAAAATGCAATTGCTAATTCTATGTCCTAATCAATATCTCTCTAATCCTAACAAAAACATAAGCAAATAAAAAATAATAACAAATAAAAAATAGTCTTCAACCGCACGTCAGATGCATTTATATAAATTTCCCGTTTTTCGAGAAAGGCTAAGTCTTCCTTCCTCGAAAAAGCAACTCCTCATGTGTACGCAGACGTGGAAAAAAACGAAGGGCAGAAACAATTGTATATTTCAAAATTACAGAGGGAAGTCTGGCAAGAATTATGCCTCTGTTATATGTAACACACGTAAGCCGGCGTACACACGTGAGCGAAATAAAAAATTCGCCGGCCAGCATGTTTAAAGGGCGCGTCAGCTACTCGTATTCGTGAAACGGTTTACTAACGAACCATGCTTTCGGCCTATACAACATTCGCTGTTTAGAACACTTTTTCCTGCTACTTGCTAATCCACAACCCGAATTTATGTTGCTGTGAGTGAAATACGATTAGTTTTGAAAATGTTGAGTATATGGAAAGTGTGGGGGGTTGTTGTATGTAAAATAATTTTGGGAAATTGTGGACTTAAGGGGACTAAGAGGTATTATGGTATTTGGTGTATTTTGTTTGCGTATTCAGATGACGAGATTATGGTATTTTTGCAGAAATTTTTATGTTGATAAATTTTTGAGGAACTATGTGCAAAATTTCTAGATCCCCAAATTCCTGGATAGCAAGTTTTCTAAATCACTAACTTTCTAGATGACGATATTTATGAAGCCACGAATTTCTAGATGACGATGTTTCTAAATCCTCAAATTTGTAGATCCCACATTTCTACACCCTCAAATCTTTAGATCCCTCGAATTCCTATGTCCCCAAATTTCGACGCCCCAAAATTCCTAAATCCTAAATTTCGACGCCGCCGAATTCCTAAATCCCAAATTTTTGCACCCCCAAATTTCGACGCCCCTAAATTACCAGATCCAAAATTTCGACGCCCCCAAATCCCAAGATCACAAATTTCGACGCTCCCAAATTCCAAGATTCCAAATTTCGACGCCCCCAAATTTCGACGCTCCCAAAATCCAAGATCCCAAATTTCGACGCTCCCAAATCCCAAGATCCCAAATTTCGACGCTCCCAAATTCCAAGATTCCAAATTTCGACGCCCCCAAATTTCGAGGCTCCCAAATTTCGACGCCCCCAAATTGCTAAATCCCAAATTTCTACGCCCCCAAATTCCTAGATCCAACATTTCTACGTCCCCAAATTCCTACACCCCCAAATTTCGACGCTCCCAAATTCCAGGATCCCAAATTTCGACGCCCCCAAATTGCTAAATCCCAAATTTCTACGCCCCCAAATTCCTAGATCCAACATTTCTACGTCCCCAAATTCCTACACCCCCAAATTTCGACGCTCCCAAATTCCAGGATCCCAAATTTCGACGCCCCCAAATTTCGACGCCCCCCAATTGCTAAATCCCAAATTTCTACTCCCCCAAATTCCAAGACCCCAAATTTCGACGCCCCCAAATTCCTAAATCCCAAATTTCTACACCCCCAAATTTCGACGCCCCCAAATTCCTAGATCCAAAATTTCGACGCCCCCAAATTCCTACACCTCAAAATTCCACATCCCCAAATTCCTAACTCCCCAAATTGCTACGTTCCAAAATTCCTAGATCCCCCCAATTCCTGCATCCCCAAATTCCTACGTCCCGAAATTCCTAGTTCACCCAAATTTCCACGTCCCCAAATTCTTAGATCCCCCATATTCCTACGTTCAATAAAATTTGATACCTATTTCCAAAAAAATGTCCCCATACGAAAACCAACAAAAGCAACCAAACACAAAGAGCTCACATAAGGTGTGAAACACCCTCCAAAACAAATACCACCACAATTTTTCATCAAACACCACAAAAGTAGGCACTTAATTCTCAAAGAAACATGAACGATCGTCAACAAATCAATCATTTTCTTATCCCACAAAGGATTCTTCTCTATCAAATGAACGACCAATCGCGCCCATCGATCATTAGCTTGTTTGCTGAAACACGATTCACTCGATCAATCCTCTCGAAACGCTATCGTCACAGAGTCGTCTGCGGGCTGCATGTACACGCTTTAATTAGCGTCGTTCCATTGGTTTCCGGATAACTTTGAAAATATTTTCTGATCGAGTTAGAACGCGGCAAAGGGTTAAACTCCACTTGAAACAGTTTTATGAAACCGGGTCTGAAATTGCTTGATAAAGTACGTCGAGATCACTTTCGGTCTTTTGATATTTATCATTTATTTATGATGTTTTTGTAGGTTATTTATGAAACTTTTGCTTTCTGTAAATATTATCTGTTTTGTTTTTAATGGTTGCTCTTTTGGTAATACGTATGATTAGAGAGTTGATTTATTATTATTTTGGTTGGGTTTGTTAGGGGTTTGTTAGGAGGAATTTTAGGTTAGGTTGATGTTAAGAGGAATTTTAAGTTAGGTTAATGGTAGGTGGAATTTTAGGTTAGGTTAATTTTAGAGAGATTTTAGATCAAAAGGAATCATATTTTGCTGAATTCGTTAGGGATTTATTAAGAGAAACTTTAGGTTAAGTTAATATTAAGAGAAATTTTAGGTTAGGTTAATGTTAAGAGGAATTTTAGGTTAGGTTAATGTTAAAAGAAGTTTCAGTTCAAATTTCAGGGATCATTATTTTGCTGAGTTTGTCAGGAACTTATTAAGAAAAATTTTAGGTTAAGTTGATGTTAAGAAAAATTATAGGATAGGTTAATGTTAAGAGGAATTTTAGGTTAGGTTAATGTTAAAAGAAGTTTCAGTTCAAATTTCAGGGATCATTATTTTGCTGAGTTTGTCAGGAACTTATTAAGAAAAATTTTAGGTTAAGTTGATGTTAAGAGAAATTTTAGATTAGGTTAATGTTAAGAGGAATTTTAGGTTAGATTAATGTTAAGAGAAGTTTTAATTCAAATTTCAGGGATCATTATTTTGCTGAGTTTGTTAAGGATTTATTAAAAGAAATTTTAAGTTAGGTTGATGTTAAGAGAAATTTTAAGATAAGTTAATGTTAAGAACAATTTTAGGTTAGGTTAAACTTACAGAAATTTTACTCCAAATTTCAGGGATATTTTGACGGTGCATCATTGTATTGGGATTAAAATTAAACTTGCAACTCATTCATGATGAAAATTTAAAGATTTTTCACATTTCAATATTTTTTGTGCGTCATATGTAGCCATTTTATAAGACAAGGGATTACTTCATATTTACTAAATATTTATATTATTCATAATTGTCCATTATGTATATCTGTCTGTCCACTAAATTTTGTATAAATACTTGCAATTTTATGTTGAATGTTAAAAATCATCTTCATTAGTTTATGAAATACTATTGATTTATTATGAACAGATTAAACAGTCAGTTTCTACTAAATTCATTTTGTATCAATGTTACATTACATTCATTATTTACATGACAATATATTCGATCTTTAATGTGAATGTTTATTGCTAATGTTCATACTAAATGTTTGTAATAATCATTTATCACAACATCTTTATCACGCATCATTTATGATGTATCATATCTTTTGGCGGGAAATTTGAAATGAAATAAGTGGTAACAAAATAACTCACGTCTATCGATGAAGTGAAAATTGCCGAAAAAGCCAGTCGCATTAGACGGAGGTCCCTGTGTGTGAAACTCCAAAATAAGCGTAGATCTTGAACTGTAGAGAACCTGCGGGATGTCACGCAGATCCCCGCAAAGTACACCGGTCCAAGGGGTGTACTCGGAAACACCGGTGGTCTCCAAATGTAGAAACACTTTTACAAAGTCACCACCCACACAGCTGGAACATAAATCAGAGAGACATACTGTGAGTGGCCTTTGCTGAAATTCTATGTGAGGACGGGGATTCACATTTTCGGAAATGCTATTTGATTTCATGTTTAAGGGGTTGGGAATTAAATAGTGGGCTTTTGAATACTTTTTTAAATATGCATTGGTAATAAATATTATTTCATTGTTAATATATATATTATTCCATAGGTAATGTACATGGCTAATATTTATTTTTTCACAGTTAATATAAATGTTTAATATACATAGTTAATATATATTCTTTCATAGTTAATGTACATGGTTAATATTTATTTTTTCACAGTTAATATAAATGGTTAATATACATAATTAATATATATTATTTCACAGTTAATGTACATGGTTAATATTTATTTTTTCACAGTTAATATAAATGTTTAATATACATAGTTAATATATATTCTTTCATAGTTAATGTACATGGTTAATATTTATTTTTTCACAGTTAATATAAATGGTTAATATACATAGTTAATATATATTATTTCATAGTTAATGTACATGGTTAATATTTATTTTTTCACAGTTAATATAAATTGTTAACATATATAGTTAATATATATTCTTTCATAGTTAATGTACATGGTTAATATTTATTTTTTCACAGTTAATATAAATTGTTAATATACATAATTAATATATATTATTTCATAGTTAATATATTTTTTTTTCACTATAATAGGCAGGTTTAAACAATTCTTTTTCGACCACCAAAATATAGAATAACTTTTCACCACAGACGTCCAACAAAAGTAAATGTTTATTACGTTTCAATCGCACGAATCAGTTTGTTTCATCATCCTAATGCAAACAAATAATTGAACCTGTTGAATGCCACCGGAAGCTCGTTAAATCAAATACAGTTCGGTAAAATGAAATTCATCGTTACGCAACGAATTGACTTCTTGTTTTAATGATACCAGATACGTAACGTTTCCTATTAAAATTGTTATATATGTAGATAAATATGTCTTCCTGCAAATGATGATGAATTTAACCATTATTGACATTCGACGGTGATACATCGATATGGTTGATCGATTAATATTTGTGACATATTTAATGAATATGAAGTTCCTACGTGTTTAATTAACAGAACGCGGTTAATTAATTTTTGTGTTGAATGTTTGATGTTTTCTCAAAATTTTTTATAGCGTTTCAACCCTTTTGGAGAGACAATATTCAATGTTCAATCACAGAACAATTCAATTTAATTCTAATTTTTGTAATTTTAATATTTGTAATTTTACTTTATTGTACTTATTTGACATTTAAAGAATTAATTGACTCATTAATATTAAAACTTGTTACTAAACTATGAATCGTAAATGAAATATTTTCATACTCGTGCAATTGTTCGCAGTACGAGTTAGATAAAAATTCATTTTCACAATTTTTACGTGAAATCTATAAATCTATAAATCTCAACAAATAATTGATACACGATAGTACAATTTTTAATTGCAGAGGATTTCACGAAAAGTACTCACCAACGAAACGATGCTAATTTCAGAGCAGAAATAAAAACGCTATAACTACCATTCGTTAAATAATTGCACTTTATTTATTTATAAAAAAACCTGTATAACATCTTCAAATAATATCAGTAAATATCCAAAAAAATGTGTTACAGTAATTATTCCTAATTTCCATAAAAAAAAATCTCTTAGAGATCTTTGACAAACATTCTGACAAACAAAAGAATGTCTTTAAAAATTCAATAAAGACATTTACAGTCACGTTTACCAACACCCACTTATTCGCGCAACGCACCATAATTTCTGCACCGCACGCGTCGACGTCTGACACCAAACTGTATTTATCGAGCTTCGACCACATCGTTGCGTGTCGTTATTCTTCGCCACGGTGCATTTAAGAATAACCTCAACCAATAAATACTACGGCGTCCTCTAAAGTCCCTATAACACAATACACTTTCGAGCATATGTAGCATGTTCACTATTGTCAAACAACATTTGAGTATCGCACAAGTTTGATGGAGTTCGACCGCCATTTTGTGGTGAGTGTAATTGGAGATGTAGAAATTTGAGGTTATAGGGATTTGAGGGTGTACGAATTTGGGGTTCTAGGAATTTTTGAATACTGGAATATGGGATTCTAGGGATTTTGGAAGATTAGAATATGGGATTCTAGGGATTTTGGGAAACTGAAATGTGGGATTTCTAGGGATATTGGAATGCTGCAATATGGGATCCTAGGGATTTTGGTATAGTGGAGTGTGAAAGTCTAAGGATTTTGGAATACTGCAATGTGGGATTTTAGGGATTTTGAAATAGTGGAGTGTGAGAGTCTAGGGATTTTGGAATACTGGGACGTGGGATTCTAGGGATATTGAAATACTGGAGTATGGGATTCTAGGGATTTTAGAATACTGGGACGTGGGATTCTAGGGATATTGGAATTCTGGAGTATGGGATTCTAGGGATTTTAGAATACTGGAACGTGGGATTCTAGGGATATTGGAATACTGGAGTATGGGATTCTAGGGATTTTAGAATACTGGGACGTGGGATTCTAGGGATATTGGAATACTGGGACGTGGGATTCTAGGGATATTGGAATTCTGGAGTATGGGATTCTAGGGATTTTAGATTGCTGGAATGTGGGATTCTAGGGATTTTGGAATACTGAAATGTGGGATTCTAGGGACTTTAGAATAATTGAATCTGGGAGTCTAGCCCTCTAGGGATTTAGGAACCCGTGGTTCGAGAGATTTGAGAATTTAGGATTAGAAATTTGGAAATTTAGAAATTTGAGATATAGAAATCTAAAAATTTAGGGATTCGGAGAAATGGAAATTTGGAGATTTAGGAATTTGGGGAACTAGAAATTTGGAAATTTAGAAATCTTGCTATCTAGGAATCCAAAAATCTATAAATTTGAGGATTTGAGTGTAAGCATCCAAAATTCTGTGAATCTAAAAATCTAGTTACATAGATATACATATTGATACTATTCTAAATATGTAATAATTTAGAGATTTATGGAAAGTACCCTACGTGTAAGTACACAGTAATCCATATGTAATTACAATACTCGTACCCAGTATTCATCAACGAACGAGTGAGCACGATTTTCGCATAAATCCATCCCATGATCGAGAAACTAGCTCTCGAAGCGCATGATCGATGGAAAATCTGCAAGTTTGTTTGCGAGCAATACTTCCGAAACTCGAAGGGAACTAACACGGCACTCTGAGGTGCAGTTAAGAGCGAGGGACTGAACAAAGGGCTCAGAACATCAGAAGTTAGTTTAATGCCATGCAACATCACAAACTGAGATCCTTGGACGGACATGTTTGCCCGGACCTCGTTGTCTCTGCTTTACTCACTTAATTGTTATACCTATCTTAATTTCCGAAAATCCCATCAGAACTTTCCAACAAATCCCTATTTCTTCAAACGATGAAATAATATTCTCAAAACGGAGGTATCCTGCGACTTTTGCAGCCTTGTGATGTCAGTTTTCGAGTCTTCGTCGTTCTGAAAGGCTGTTTTTAAAGAGAAAGCTTCAAAGAATGTGACAATATTTTTTTTTAATTTAAACCCTTTACGCTCTACATTGAAAAAAATGCAAGATAAGAATTTGTTTAAATTTTTCGACATTTCATAACAAATTGAGGGAATTGAAAAAAAATATTTTAAAGTAGCGCAATCCTTCTCGAATAAAACAAAAAAGAATTTAGCTAAATCGGTTGAGTAGTTTCTGAGAAAAAAATTCGTGAGTGAGACGTACCTCCATTTTAGGTAGGCGAGTTGCGCGCGCAGCTTGTTTTGGGTCCAGCTGCGCGCGCAACTCGCCTACCTAAAATGGTGGTACCCGCGACACTTCGTAACAAATTGACAGAATTAAAAAAAATATTTTATAGTAGCGCAATCCTTCTCGAATAAAACAAAATAGAATTTAGCTAAATCGGTTGAGAAGTTTCTGAGAAAAAAATTCGTGAGTGAAGCCTATTTTCGCAAGAATGAAAAATTACAGACTTTGAAGGCTTGATATTTTTTAACAAATTCGAAGCTGGTAAAATGATGACTTAAACCCTCCCTAATTTCATATGGACTACAACATAATTTAATTAGAACAAATTCGCAGATGGTGATTGATTTAAAGCAGAATGACTCATACACGATTTATGAACGAAATTACGATCCGTATCGACAAGTTTCAATAAAAAAAAAAAATGAACTGCACAGCAATAAATTCGCGTGGAAAATTTATACACTTCGACGCAAGAAGGTTTTGTTCGTTTTAAATGCCAAACGAAATGATCCCCGTATATTTCCCGTGTATTTTCGAACACGATAAAGGAATATAAATATGAAATGTAAATGCGCGGATCCAGGATGAATGTAAAATTTATCGTGAAATACCGAGGCACCGGTGAAACTCTTTGTACAAACGGAAAACTGTGCGAATACATTGAACAGAGAAAATAACGGAGACCCGGTTTCATGGATAAAGATCAAAGCCGAGATGATACCTTGTTTCGCGAGAGAACGGAAATCTTGAAATGCCTAAGAAGTGTGATTTATTCGCGAAATAAAAGGGATGAAATTCAGGCAACTGTGTAATTATCCAACTGTTGTTTCCTCTCGTTTATCCTCGAATCGGACAGCTTTCAAAAAGAACGGACTAAATGTTAAGCTACTTTTGTCCCCGATTACGACAATCTGGATAAACTGACGTATTTCTTTAATTTTATTTGTTTATTCATTTTTAATAACTGTCTGTTATTATTTTCGTTTACTGGGAAATATCTGATGGGAGGAATTCTGTAATTATTGTTAGTTTGGGTAAAAACACTTTTACGTCGTTTGAATTTCGCGCGCTCTTACGCGATGGAGTCATGGCGAATGATCGAAACTTTCTTTTACTTATGTTTCTATGGTGTTAGAAGGTAAAAGTGCCTTTCATATTGCACTGTAAATTGCAGAAAACAAGTTATTA